CATGGCAATTAACCCAATTAACCTGTTGAACCCCATCCGCAAAACATACACTGACCAAGATGGCCCAACACTTTAATACCAACCGAAATATCTCAATACCTGGGGGCATTCATGGTCCCTAGTGGATGAGCCCCTGACATTTCCTGTTCCGAGACACCATTCGATTGACATTTGGGTTTCCACCAGCACCATCATAAAGTCAACATTTAAATGTTTCCTATACTTTGGTTTGCAAATAATATCTACTAATTTATGACATTTATATCAGCGTGAGCCATAGTCTACTAGCCTACTTTAACTGTAATGCCAATTAGCAAATCTCAGCAAGATGCTTAACTAAGAGGTTGATTGTGATAAACATTATACCTGCTTATCATCAGCATGTTAACATGTTCATAGTGAGACCGTTAGCATTCTGACGTTTAGCTCAAGGCACCATTCAAACACAAATAATGGCTCTTGTTTCTTGACAACTTTATTAATCAGGTAATTGCTGTGGTACTAGTAGATAGTAACATGCTTGTAAGTTTACAAAGCTGAATGGTAGACAAAAATGTGGTTGTCTGTTTTCTTCTCCCCAGTGAACGCTCCCTGATTGTGATGCATGATCCAACCCCTGTGATGGAGGATTGTTTTGCTATAGTGTAGTTTAGTTTAGCCTATTGTCTTCTCAGATTTTGCGTTATATATTCTCATTTATTTTCTTCTCTTTCGCCTTCCCCGTGTCTTATCTGGTTTTGTCTGGTCTGTTCTGGTCTGTTTTGATCTCGCCGATAATGTGAGCACATTAATGCCCCCCCACCCCACCTCCAGCTCAGACAGAAATCTGAAACCCTCCAGACTGTTTTATATTCCAGCTCCAGCCCCTGTTGATGTAACCACTTGATGATAACACGCCTTGGCCTCTTTCCTCACAGTTCCCAATGAGGTTTCTGTGTGTGAGCACTCCGCTTGCATTTAGTTTTACTCGCATCACACCCTGGGCATTGGTAAATAACAAAAACACGCTTTTACTCGAGCATTTTCAAGATGAAACATTTTGACACTAGGAAAAATTGTGCGAGGACCAGTCTGTCCTGGGCTTTAGGAAAACATTGACTCAGCCTCTGTCATCAGTACTGGCTGTCTGAACCCAGACGAGTGATAATAATCCTCATCATCCTGCTCCATTCTAGGTGTGTGTCAGATATAAACACACTCCATCCTCCTAGACGTGCGGGTACAGTCTCACTCTGCTCCCTTATGTTGTGTGATGCATTTTCCTCCTCTGTGTGTGCACGTGTGGGGGTTTATTGTTTGGTATAATAACACCTGATGAATGAGGAGTCTGCTTTGCTGACAGAGGGTCCCATTAACACGTAGCGCTTGGCTCCCCCTTCGCAATCCGTCACACACCACATACACACAGAGAATGGAGGTAATCAATGGGATGATTTAATAGCATCTGCTCTGTGTCCGCAGGGAGTGAATAGGATTCATCCCTAGATTTATCTGTGGATGCTTTTGGTTACAGATTTGGAGGATTTCACACCAACTTTTTATTTGGAATCAAGCAGCAATTTTGACAAGAGAACATTTTGTGACATGATATTAATTGGTCAATATTTTCTTATCACCAGTGATTTGGCCCCTTAAGGAATTGTCTCATATTTTGGAAAAGCATATGTAAGCTTTCCTGCAAAGAGATGAGCAGTTTGACACCACTGTCATGTGTATGGTAAATAGATGAATGGAAACAGCCTGTAAGCATACACAAATATAAATTAGCTAGCTTGGCTTTGTCCAAAGTAAAAGAAAACAACATGCAGGTTTCACATTTCTGTTGTGTGTGTTAAACAAAAAACACATCATGTTTAAATAAGTGAGCTTTAGAGTTGCTGCTAGTTGGCAGTGTGTACTTTTTTCTTAAACACAAGCATAAGCATATATTGTCACATATAGACAATAAAGTGATTTCTCATCTAACTCTTGTAAGAAGGCCTTTTTTCCATAATGTCAAACTATTCCTATGAAGAATTGCTCTATCCTTCACTTTGGGGATGGACAAAATAGATTTTCTTTTAACCTGTAGATGGAAGGATATTTATCACACATAATCAATTTATATAGCTATTATATTGACAAAGGTTAATTGGTCATCCAGCGGTGGATGTGGATATGGAATGCTCGACCCACTTAAGGCTGCTTCAGAATTTGATGCATTGCTTCCTAGTAAAGGTCAAAACAAGTGCTCATCAGAGAAGCACTAAAAACAACTTAGTGGTGATTCTTTTAAGGAAAGTGTCTCAGAATATTAAAATAATATGATTATGTAATGTTTGGGGCTTTAATATAGGCATGTCAAGTAGTGATACTTACTTGTGGGCGATCAGTTATCTGTACAGCATTGTGCATAGATAGAGTTTGATGGTTAACCTTGTGGATGATAATAGGCCATCTAACTCACAGACAGCATGTTTTATTTATAGCGTTCACTGTAATTTACCAGTGTTGGTGAGATGGATTTATAGTCCATATAAGTAAGACTTGACAGGGTTTACTGACTGGCCTGTTAGCTTTCTGTAAAACCCAATCAAGCTGTTTTTACAACCGTGCAATCTACTCTACTCTGTATTCTCGCCTCATTTTATTTTCCTTAAATGAGAGCTAATGACTGTGAAACCCTGCTCAGTTCTGCAGTGGTCATTAAAGGTCAGATGTCTCCAATATCTCCCACCCAAGCATCGCAGTGAATCAAAGAACAAGTGGAAAACTGCAGCATATGGCAGCAGTCCCAGGAGATAATTATGCACCGTAGCACAATCGATTCTACTTACAAAAAGTTGGCAGTATCTGTTACAGTTTGTTAATGAGTTTTTTAATCGTTGAATGTTATAGTTACCACAGTTAAGGTAGTTGCTTGCGCAATTTGGGGAACTCAATGGTTTTTGGATTCATGTTTCAGGTGCCTCAGTCAAAAGCACAGTTTAATTTGATGGCAAGACAGTAAAACAGGTACATTTCAAAGCAAATGGTCCACAATATAGAGCTTGGGGATTAGCATTTTGTCGAGCTGGCTGCCGACCATAGGTAGAGGTAGAAAGGAACAAGGAAGGCAAGAGTCAGATGGTAAACAATGATGTAATCAAACAGCAGTTATAAATGGTAAATATTTGAAGTACCTGAGATAACTGCCTTGCCTTTTATGCCAAATGTACCACACCACTGTAAATTAAGAATGCATTGTTTAAAATTGAACAAAGTGGTGTATGACTGCCGAAGTAAAGGTAAACTGCCAATTGCTGTAATGCCCCTTTCACACCAACGCGGTTCCCGTTCTAGCTCCATGCTAGAGCTTTTCTGGTTCGGAACCGTTTTTTCTTTTCAGCCCCCGTTTTGTTCACACCGCCCAGAGCCCGACTGGTGCTGCCGCTGCTGCGTCATGACGTCACCGTTTACGTCGCTGATTTTCTCCCCAACGGCGTTACGGCGCTCACTACAACAACAATGGGGGACTGCGTCGGGTCGATGGTCGTGTTGCTTTTAATCATGCGAAGCCAGATTAAATTAAATAACGACTTGTCCAACCTTATACTTTTCTCCAGAGTGCCGTGGTTCATTGTTTATTAATGTGTTTCAGCGGCATTTACCGACCGCTGCAGTGCTGCTCTTCCACCGGAGTTTATTCTCCCGTTAGCTCCGGGTTAGCTCACACGGCAGCGGCCGCTGTAAAGTATTCACTGTCTGACTGTCACACAAGCAGCTGATACATATCCCCAATTCCCCATAAGTGAATGTGTGTCAGTCTGAATTGACGCTGTTTGGCATCACAACACTGTTATGAAAGTTTCTCTGGTATAAAATGGGTGATGTTAGCATAGCAACCGAAGCTAAACTGACTATCTTGACTACTTGTTGTTGCTATCCTATTGTGGCATAAGCCGTTTTCTACAGGCACATTTTACCGGCGTATTTTTCATTATGATTCTACTTGTGATAGTCGGACATGACAACCTGTGCAGCCCATGTATTGATTCCATCCGATAGCTGCTATAATAACAAACAAAACGTCTGCCTGCTCTCCACAATGATCAATAACAGCGAACGGATGGTCAAAGTAAGATACAAATAAACAGAATCACACTAAGCCTGGTTAGTGTTGCCTGACTTTATAAAGTGTGTTTTTTTTTACAAGTGTGTGGTTGCGTTCTAGTCACTTTGCTCAGCGCTACTGCTTGTTACAAATTGTATTTGCCGTACTCGCCTTTAACTGTTAGCTCAGGTTAATCTCGCCCCCCTCCGACGTAAGCGTGACGTATGCGGTTCTTGCTTCTAGACCGACAATTTTTTGGTGCTTGAAACGAACCGGATTCCATGCTTAAAAAAACGGTGCTTTTCAGGCTCTAGCTCCGAACCGGCCCTGGAACCGCGTTGGTGTGAAAGCCCCATAAGGGAGTTTTGTGACTTTCTGTCAGTATAGTAATGTATGGTTATTATGGTTACTATGGGTTGTAATGTTTTAAAAAATTGTAGGAATACATTTTTGCAATCAGTGTTTTTTTCTGAAATAATAAATCAGTTATGTGCACTTTAGTGGGACGGTATTTCAGAAAAACAGGAAAAGTATTACACATTGTTATTTCAAATAATAATTTCTCCAACTTCTTAAACCCTGTGTTTAGCTTGAAATATGTTAGAGGGTATCCTTTTGGATTTCTTGAAAAAAAGAAAGTTCATCCTTCAGTTTACATTAAAAAATGAAAAACTGCAAATGGCTACAGTATATACGTTTTTCACCACATGATATACAATGATATAATACTCAAATCAGTGTTTGCCATGGTATTCCTGTTATTTTATAATGCTATAAAGCACATTGAGATGGGAAAAATTGATTTAGGCGGTTTCAAATGCTGTTGCACTGTAAAATTGTCCTGCAAGTGCATCAACAAACAAGCGTGGAATGTCATTTTTGCTCATATTTCTAACCATGTTTGCTTTCTTTTGTTTGTCTCTTGCAGCTCAGCAGATGAGAAATTTCGCTGGAACAACCAAGGTAATATTTCCTCTCAAATCCGACATATTGTCTGGTCCTCTATTGTTTGCAATACAGCACTGCTCACGCTGAACATTGCTGACTGAGCGTTATTATATTGCTGGCCATTGTAAAAGTTCCCCAGCATGCACTAACAACATATTGATGCAATTTCTTTATGAGAACTATGGTGGCTGCCTGCAATGAAAGCCACATTTAAAAATGTTGCTCTAACAAAAAAAAATAAACCCTCCTGTCTCTCAAATTCCCTCACCTCATCCGACAGCTAAGTAAAGGTCAAACAGCATTTGCAAATATTCATAGTATTTCGTTTAAACTGTTTGGAGAGCCATATGAGAAGTGTTTTTCACACAAGAGAAAACAAGAATCAATGAGTGTGAGGCTTTTCAGGTGATTTGCAAGTCAAATGAAGACACCTCTCTGGGCCTGACATCTTCTTTGACAGCATTTTAGTTGAAAAAAACCGCCCATACAAGACACTAAGGTCTCTCTCTCTTCCTCTTTGTCAGTCATGCTGGGATGTATAGGGTGTTGAGGCTAGATTGATTGTCTGAGTGCAAGGTTGGCGACCTCTGCCAACAAAGAGGTGACTAAAGATTATTGGTCAAAATGTTTCAAACTGAAGGCTTTCAGTGCTGCTGTGGTTTTCATCCATCTGCTGCACCTAAGCCTGACCACCAGGAGAGACTAAATTGACTCTGCCACGAAAAACCTCCCGAATTTCAATCAGACTTTTTGATCTTGTCATCGCGATTCATTAAAAACCCATCACCTCTGGATCAAGCAGGTTTAAAAATGACTTTTGACTTGTGGGTGTGAGGGTGAGAGTAAATCCAGCCCAATGATGCAGACAGCATTGGAAATGTTTCACCAGCATCATCAACATCATCAGTCTGCAGTTGCGGCAGTCGAAGTCAATAAAATCAGCCTCCTAAATCCACTCAACAGTCCTCTACTATTACCATCTCTGTCTCCCAAAAAGAGATTAACTCTTCTCCTCAGACTCATTTGTGAGTTGTATCCTTCGTGGCAGGCCTCTCTAACTGGAAGACCCTGAGCATCAAACGGCCTGGGATCTAAGTACAAGTCTTTGCCCCATAGACCCAGATCCCACAAGACTTGTTGCTGGATTATCAGTCAAGTTTTTTCGCTTCACCCAAGGTTCATCCTTACGCATTACTCATGTGATGAGACAAGAGTGAGGCCACTTTTTAGGATGCTAATCAGCCTGAAAAAGAATTAATTTGAACTTGCATGGTGCATTTGTGCATTTTGGTGTAAAAGGATTTTCAACAGTATAGGGAGGGAAAGATGTCCGGTAGACTCCCTATAGGTCATTCTTTGCTTTTTAGTGACTTGTAAAAGTATAAAAATGATCTTATATGAATCAGAGGTTTTAAGTGTGGTATAATAACCTTAAGAATTAACTCAAAAACGTTAACTCTTTGAACCTTTGGCTGTCTTGCTTGGTATTCAATCATTGTCATGAAGTCTTGGATTGCTTGAAACACTTTATATTGTTTTTCTCAAAGTAGGTTACGCATCTCCAAATTAAATCGAAATTTCAGTGGTGCTATCGATATTCTGGGACAGATTTTTATTTATTGAAAAAAAGCAACTTGATTTTTATGGGGAATTTTGTCCTGAAGGCCCAAAGTAGCTACCTGTTCATGAATGAATAGAGACTGGATTTCATGACCAAATGTTTCAACAATGTTGTGGACAGTTAGCTCCCACACATTCTTTTAGACGTTATTACCTTTTGGTGATCCTGCACCTGAAAATATCATGCTGCATTATTTGCTCGTGTTTCACGTGTTAACAACTCCCTTTTTTTGCATGATCCATTATTGGATAAATCGAGCCATGAGTCTAGCTTAAGTCTCATGACTCTGCACTCTGAAGGTTGAAATATAAGGTGTCTTTGTTTTAACTTTTGTTCCTTTTACCATTTTCTGTGTGTGCACATGTAGATGGACACAAGGATATCGAGGAGGAGCTGACGACAGGCTTGGAGCTGGTGGACTCCTGCATCCGATCGCTCCAGGAATCAGGCATCTTGGACTCGCAGGACACTATTGGAGACAGTAAGGCCAATAATATGATTACGAAGGTTTTCTTCAAGGGATAATGAAAAAAGTAGTTTTCTTTACTTCTTGACAGTTGAGACAAATGGCTTAAAAGAGAATAGGTAAAATGCAATCAGAGACCTGCAGGGTTAGATATTCTGCAGAGATGTATGCTCCACGTTTGTGCTGATTAACCTGTTGAATGTGTGTGAATTCACTTGAAAATGCTGTTCACAAAGGAAGCCTGCACCATAACACTAGTGAGCAATAAAGCATTAACGCGTCTTTTAAGACCTTCATTGAATAAATGGAAAAAATAAGACAATTAGGCCCTTTGTTTTTATTTAATCAAGCCACATTATTTCTACTAAGTACTTGCTCCAATTCGCACATGCTAACCAAAGGCTGAAAGAGTGGTTGTCTTTCATTAGATTTCATCACATTTTCCGAAAGTGCTACTTGAATTATTTAAGGATTTTAAGTGCAAGTATAGTGGATAAAGCGGTGATCAACATGCTCTATACTTGTTGTCTTTTAGTGTGTCCAGCTTATTTACATTTTATCTTGGATTTTATATTGATTGAAAATTATTTTTCAGTTTTTTGGTCTGTTTACCTCTAGTAAATGTTTACAATCATGCTAGTTAGTCCAGTTAATACTAAATGTAATTTAAATGTTTTAGTACATTTTATATTACTATGCTCCACAATATGTTTCCCATGTTATGGTTACCAGATATGTAGTATTGAAAGACCAAATGCAGCTTTCATAAGGCCACCAATACTGAACCAGTACTCAGCAATGCTAAAGCAACATTTTTAAGCTTGTATACCTGTATAATTACCTAAATCTGACTTTAAGCCACTTTGGGGTACACAAAAAGCTCTAAACACAACAAGTACATGTTATCATCTTATAAACACATATGGCAAACGTGTTAAAAAGAAGTTGTCGATTTACAAATCCAGCAGCATTAGCATTTATTGCCGCCATAATTCTTCAAACCAAATTATGAACAGACCAGTATTTACTCTTGCTGTGTTTAGTCTCCACCAACATCTAAGGGAAATAGTAGGTATCTTTAGGTTGCGAGTGGTAAGAGTTAACCAATACAGTTTATAGCCTTAGAACCAAAACAAAAAACTGAAAGACAACACAGTTTCTATACTTAGATGGTAAAAAAATAGGTTTCACAGCTGATGCAATGTTGTTTTATTTTCAGAGTTTAAAGGAGTTGTTTATACATTCTCTCAGTGAGATCTTGAACAACAGCGTGCCTCTCTGCCGAACCCTATTCTTTTTTAATTTGGTCCCTGGGATGATACCCATGACTCTTGTACAGGCAACCCCATGGGAGAGAGGTAGCTGTCAGGAGACATGCAGAGACGTGCCAGTAGTTTGATATGCTAATCCACCCTCACTGAAGTGTCAGCTGGCCTGCTGCAGTGAGGGGAGGCACACACACACACACACACACACACACACACACACGCACACACACACACACACACACACACACACACACACACACACACACACACACACACACACACACACACACACACACACACACACACACACACACACACACACACACACACACACACACACACACCACACACACACACACACACACACACACACACACACACCCACACCCACATGCAAATAAAGCCATACATGTGCATACATAGACAGACAAGCATACACAATTACATATGAGGCATGAAGAAAATCCCAGAAGTGTACAGGCCCCCATGCATTGCCTGTTTAGTCACACGTGCTATTGAAGCTAAGAACTGGCATACACACGCATTCAGAACTAGGAATAATAATTTTGTGGATGTTTTTTAATGTTTAAATAACAGTTATGTAACCGACCACCTGACTAGTAAAAAAAGAAGAGCAAATATGCCTGCAAGAGACAGAGGGGAATAGACAAATAAGCAAGAAAATAAACAGACAAGAAAGAGAGAGGGCAAAATAACCCAAATAATGTCTTTACTAAGCCCCTTCTCTCTACATCGATCATCCAATCAGAGCATAGGAATCTCAAGTATTATATTTTATTTGGATGTTTTGTGTCTGTTGGAAGATAGCGTCTCTTGATTCAAAGAATACAATTGGGGCTGTCTAGTTTGGGCTGAAAAAACTAATGCATGTACAGCACATCCACTGAGCAAATCCTGCATGTTATTAGCATTTAGCCTAATGTTAGCACTCTCTCCTGCTCCTTATTAGATTTGGGGAAGTTTATACTTACTAAAATTAAATAGTTAAGTAGTAGTACTAATTTCTAGTACTATTAATGCTCGTTGTATGTAATGCATTAAAAACATACATAAGAAATGTGATAGAATTAGTTTAAAGCACTCGTGAATTTGCATAATGATTTATAAGAATAATCATAGCACATATAATGAATTATAATCACTGTTAAAATGTGATTTTTCTAAGTGTTCATTGTTTGTTTTCAGTGAATTAATGAAATGTATGAATGATTAAAAAGTCACCAGGAGACCACTCTTTAAAAAAACTAATGGTGCTAACGTTAGCTTGATCAACTAGCTAGCTAAAGCTGATAACATCTGTTAGTGAATGTTGTCATTAAGCTGGAAGAAATTACAGTTGCAGGTTAGAATAAGGAAGCTTGTTTTTGTCTGAAATCAAGGATCTATTGGTGCGTAATGATCAATGTGACCATACAACCCAGTCTCATGGCATTTCGTGTTAAAGTCACGAAATAAATGTAATCTGTTGATTCGTGTTCACCAACACAATTTTTCCATTTTTCTCGTGTCACACAGAACGATTTTAAAAGCAATGTATTTTTATTGGTAGTATGTTTCGTGCCTGCACCACGTCTTTTTGTCCGGTCAGGTCTTGGAAGACCGGCAGCTGTGTGGTTCATAAAAAAAATGTCTTACTCAATATCAAGCCACGATTATTGTTTTTATTTTAAATTGTATAATGTCTGACTTTTTTTGCCGTCCGTGAGGAAAATAAATGGGGCTCAGAGCCTCAGAATACTGAAATCTGTATTTTTTAAATCTTTTTTTCCTTCTAATTTGTTATTATTTACATTGCTTTTAAAATCGTTCTGGGTGAAACGAAAAAAAATCATGTTGGTGAGCACGAATCAATAGATTACATTTCGTGACTATAACACGAAATGCCGTGAGACTGGGTTGGACCATAATCTATCAGCATTAGCTAAGATTACTGTCAATGTTGAGTTGTAGGTCTAAACCTGTCAAACGGTCAGGTAAAAAATGCATTTGGCACACTTGCTACGTACTTAATGTACAGTTATAAGCAGATAAGCATAAAAAGAAGGCTTAAAGCATGTATAACAAGATACCTACACACACCTAAAAGCACACACCACACAACACACACCAGCAGCAGCAGCATCCACTTCTTCACTCAAGCTGCTGAGCAGATTAGTGCGACACTGCAACAGAGTGCCTTCATGACTTCACGCTGGTGATGCTCTCCAGTGTGCATGTTAATCTGTGTGTATGGGACTATGTTGCATGCAGCTATTTGGGACTGAGCATGCCCTTTTGTGTGTGTGTGTGTGTGTGTGTGTGTGTGTGTGTGTGTGTGTGTGTGTGTGTGTGTGTGTGTGTGTGTGTGTGTGTGTGTGTGTGTGTGTGTGTGTGTGTGTGTGTGTGTGTGTGTGTGTGTGTGTAACAGAATGCTCCAATGCCGTATCTAAAAATAGCTACTGATGAAATATTAAAATGTGTCAATAGAGAACGCTGGTCACGATGCAGCAAAAAAGCCACTCAACAACTTTAAGTGTGTGTTTGTGTGTGTGTGGCAGGGTTGGGGAGGGGGGGTATGTAATGGCAGAAGAGCAGATTAATGCAGGTCTATCAGCGTTAGGCCATCCAGAACTGCATGCATGCAGATATATATGCAGATGTGACGTGTGTCTATGCATGCATTCACGGTGAAGGAATGAGCGATATACAGTGTGTGTATGTGTTCACTGACGTTTGAACAGATATTTAAATGCGCAGGCAGAGACCCTCTTATGGCACCCCATTACTTTCCTTCCAATACACTAATACAGCTCTTTCTACACATACACACACATTTCCTCACTCTTCCACCTCAGATGGATTCAGTGAAGCCTTCAGTGTTTCTGCCATCTGAGTGATCATGTATTTATGAGGCCGCTTCACTCCCTTAAGGCCCCAGTACCCACATGAAACACACCTAAAGTGGCAAACAAAAACGGTGGAAAACATCCTCTGGCTTTGTGCACACATCTGGGTTTGTGTGCATGTGAATCCATCTGAAAAAAGGTGTGGACTACAAATTCCTCCACTGCATTATGGCTTTGTGTTCACCCATGTACCCAAGACGAACATATATCAGACAAAGAGGCATTGACCTAGTAAACGCAACCAGCACCCCTTGGCTTAATATCACATTTTAAATAATGCAAAATCACCAGCTTCACTGCCTACAGGATCCATTTGCTGTACTTTTAATGGACTTTTCACTTTGGTCGAGCTTTGTTTTCCAACGCCCTTATCCAGAGTGACTCCATTTGCTGTTAGCTGCTGACTTTATCTCTCCAATGCAGTTGATATTGACCGCCGGCCCACTATGATTTTTCATTCTTTCTTATTTAATCATCGCAAAAACACGGACTGTTTCAGCTCGTCTCGTACAATGTTTGATTCTTGGAATGCTGGCAAAAAAAGGGATACAGTGGAGATTAAAGGGACAGCCACTGTTGATGGAGGACAGCTCAAGAACTCCTTTGAGAGAACAAATACTGAGCGCGAGGAATTTATAGTCCTATTTAAGAACTGATGTAAGGCTGTAAAGTTAACGTTGTAAGTTGTTTGACAGAAAGGCAAACAGATGTAGACGTTTTGAAAGTTGCTGAAGTACACTAATGTTATACTGAGGGACATTTTGTTTCTGTAATTACATGTGTAGATGAGGCATATCAATGCTATCATCACCATTAGTGAATTAATCAAAGGTGCATCAAACCTTTTACAGGATCTCAATAAGAGGGATGGGAGAAGTTCGACCCGCCTGTCCACCTCAAGTGATTCAATTTAGCTCACTTCAAATTTTAGGGACGATCTAGGCAACGCTAAAAACTCACTGTCTAAAAAACATTGTGTGAATGCTTCGTCATGTGTTCCATGAATGTGCTGTAATCACATAGCATGCTCTGACAAATAACACAAACATGCATGCTTGTGTAATGTGTCACAGCAATTGCCTGTTTGCATGTTGACGCAAGTAATTAAATGATCCGTGTACAAATCACCAGACTGCAAATGCCTCGGAAACAAGAATGTGGCTGCGTGTGAAATTAGCAATGAAGCGTTTTGTCACTTTATGCTTTTTTGCTATTGGCTATGTGTTTGCACATGTGTCATCATAGTCAGCCTCATCTGTGAAGCTACTGTGAATCAGTAACAGCGACATACATGATGAGAAACTGAAAACTGTGCACCCAGAGAAAACTAATCACATCCCTTTTCAGACATTAAAGCTAATACTCCTGAGGCAAGTGTGACTTTTGATCAGTCTAAAAGTAACCGTTGACATAGTGACTGATTTGAAGGCTGACCAGCTCACTGTAGGTTTGTCCAGCTGGAGTCTGGCCGACTGATCTCTGGTAGATGTTGGAGGAAAGCCTGAATGTGGGTATAAAGATTTGTTAATAAAAAGCAGCTCATCAGTGAGGTTAGTGTCAGTGATTCTCACACTTGAATTCAAACACGACATTGCAACGTGTAGAAGCTGTGTAATGAGCCAGGTTGGTTGGTAATGTTTCAGAAAATGAGAAAATGGAAAAGATTAATGTACCTCTTAAGGAATCTTTTACTTTCTTTCATCCTTACCCAAAAGCCTGCTTTATATCTCTATGTAATATGAAGTGGAGGTAGGAAATTGGCGTACTGGATGTTTAATATTGGTATTGCAAGTAAACAGTCAGTGTGGCAGAGGAGAGACAGAACGTTTTGGCAGAAATGCAATCTCGCTATTGTCCAATGATGGATGTTTAGATTAGTTTTTTCTGTAGCAAACACATAACCTAAATGTATACTAGCTACTTGTGAATCAATGTAGTCGAAGTTATCGCTTATCTCCACCGACAAAATGTTTGCGTCTCAACTTGTCAATGTTTCCGAATGCAATGACCGAGAACAATTCGGACAAGGTAATCGTTATTCTTGGTCTGGACCTCTAGGGTACATGTGTTGACAATTTGGGTAGCCCTACGCGTCAAATCCTGGTAATCCATTATAGTAATTATCACAGTGAAACCAAACGAAACTCCTTACCTGGGTTAAGTAAAATGTTTTAGTTTGGGTCGAAATAATCAGAATGTATTAATAACTTTGAGTAAAATGGCTCGAATGACATTTGGTTCCACACGGGACAAAAACAGCTACATCTACAGTGGGTCATAGTCCTGTGTTTGTTTGACCCAACCAACCAACCCAATAATATTGCTGCCACATTGTAGTTACTTGAAGCCTGATGCTTCTCATACAGATACTAAATTGAGTCAATATCACACACCGAAGGCAGTGACCAAATGTCTGTTGGACACTTGGAGACTGAGACCAAGCTGGTAATCAGAAATCCTGTTGGCTACATCTTACTACTGAAATGGCTAAATCAGACCAATAGCCAATGGTTTGCGCGATTGAATTACACAGTATGTTTAAGTTTTGTGAAGGTCACTGTCATACATTATTGTCCAAGAGACATACTAGATTTTGGACCATGACCAATCATAGATTAATATGATTCACTGCATCATTAATTACAGTGAATCCATTGAAAGTAATTCGCTTAAGTCAGAAAAAGAGATTAGTAAAGGCTCTACTCAAGGGGAAAGAAACATATCTTGAAATGCAAATATTTTGTATTACTATACAAATGTTTTTTTTTATCAAACCACTTTTAACATTTATATTTAAAAGGGCATAAATTACCTTCTTCAAAGAGAAATTATTAGAAAGGATTTCAACACATGGATGAGTTAGTTTGTGCAAGATTATTAATGTGACTCTCCTGCTGAATTATTGAGAAAAATATGGAGTGGAGATAGAGAAAGACGGAGAATAGAGAGCGGTAAAGGAAGTGATAGAGGCAGAAAGTGAAAAAAGGAAGACAGAGCAGGAGTGTTTCAAATGGAGGTCAGGTTCCGAGTGTGATTTACAGAGCATGAATAGAAAAGAGTGAAGAGAGGCTAGAATAACAGAGCGGGTAAAAAGCAAATATGTGTCTCATAAAAGAGGACAAGGCCTTCTATTTTATTCTATGACAGCATTCAGTCGCCTTTTATATTCTTAGCTACTGTTCAAGGTCTGTTGCAAACTGAGGCGTTATATTTGTTGGATTCACATTAATTACCACATTTTGTAACACGTGGGATGAAAACTGGGATACAATAACATTGAGGGCCATGGACAGAAAGAAGCTTCACACAACTGTTACAAAAGGAGAATGTGTCCAAACAAATGCTTCTTAAGGTGGATTTTGAAATAAACTGTGTTTCATGTGCTGTTTACACGGGAACGAAAACGGTTGTATCCGCTACTTTTCTCTTTCGTATAGCCCGTTCGTTCACACGAGGCCGTAACGGAAACGCGGAAACGGAAACGCGGAAACGGACCCCTAAAACGATAACGGGTCCCAAGGTGGATAGATCTGCAGACGGAACGCTCTGGGGGGCCAAGCGGCTCCGTGTGTACGTCCTATACGATAATTTCCTGATAACGATGAAGCCCTAGCCCCGCCTCTCCCCACCTCTGCTGCTCACTGCTGTAGCATGGTCAGTAGCTACTGTCAGTAGCTACTGCTACTGCTACTGACCATGCTACAGAGGTTAGTGGACATAGAGAACTACATGAACTACATGTTGCTAAATCCACCGCGGAGAATAAACAGAAGGGCAACCAGGCAACCATGGCCTGGGGGGGTCTTCTTCGCTGCTTTTGGTGTATTTTGTGTACTACAGCGCTTTCGAGCGGTCTCGTGCGGAAGTACAGCGCCACTTACAGGCCCGGCATATATACTACAGTGTCTCCAGCACTTTCGAGCAGTCTCGTGTGAACGGAATACTTTTTTGATATCGTATTCGGTTTGTTTGCGTTTCGTTTGCGTTTGTGTTCCCGTGTAAATGGGGTCTCAAACCATGACATTACCTAATTTAACCTCCTACCCCAAATCAAAACCCCTTTAAACTCTGATTGATATTGATTCTTCTCTTCCTGTTCTTTTCATCATTAGGACAAGGACTTCTGTCCCAAAGCGCTTTGCAGCTCAACCACCAGGATGCCTATGCAGCAGCTGGTTACCATAGTAACCACGGTCTTGCACTTGGGGAATCGGTCATGGGCCGTGGCGGGCAGATTGGAGGGGCTGTTCACAGCTACAACCAGGTACACACGTACACCTATTTTTTTTACACATATCAAAAAGACATGTATTCCTTTGTGTATTTTCTCTCCATTTTAAATGTTCCTACTTCCCTCATTTATTTCCCTCCTCTCCACGCTTCTATATCCTTCCTCTCTCCATTCACACTTTCTCCTCTTCTTCATGTCTCTATCTTTTGCTCTACCCACACCTCTTTGTGCTCTCTTTGCCCATTCTCCTGATTTATTTCTCTACCCTTCTTACCTCCTTTACATTTTGTCCTCCACACTCGCTGACTGAACCCTTATCTTCCTCCCGTTTCTCATCTTTCTCCACACTCTTGTCCTCTCTAGGTGACATCCAGCCGTGCAGCTGCCCACTTAGTGGGAACTGACTCTCCCTCCCAGTCACAGAGAGACTCATTTGCCCATGGCAGCGCCTTCCACATGCCCGCTGATGGATCTTCACCTGGCGGACCACCCATGTATTACTCCTGTGCCACTTTGCCCGCACAGGTACAAATATCTGACTAGATTACTGTAATGCGTCTGAATTGTTATATATGGTTTAACCATTGCTCAGAGACCCCTATTGGTGGAATCCTTGAAACTTAACACTACTATAACCCTGCTGTAACGGAGTGAAACCAATGATTTTAGAGTTACCATGAGAAAAGGCTTTTGAATGTTTGTCTTGCCATATCTTTCTCTGCTGTCAATCTGTGTGCTCAGTGTGCCGAATCACCAATGAATTGCTAAAAACACAACTTTCCGCAGAGCTTAGAGATACATTGGAGAAGTGGAAGTAATGTCTTTGTATTAGCACACACTGTTGGTTAAAGCCAGATAACTACATTTAGCTGAAGTAGTGGTCTGAGACACTTTTACACATTGTGTTAGATCAACACCAAGTTTCAGATACACCAGGATTTACATTTGTGTCGCCCTAACTGTGAGCTGGGACTGAGCTACGTAATTAGCTTGCTAACTGTCTGTTAGAAAGTCAGTGAGCTTGGAGTGCTTGCTTCATTTATCCTCGGTAACTCTTTAATGAAATAAATCATGAATGCCAGGGAAAGTAGATGGTCCGTTATAGAGAAAAAGTGTTGGAGCTGGTAAATCTAATCCAAGGCACAGTCCTTTTAATTTAGTTTTGGTGGCTTATATTTTCAAAAATACTACAAGGTCACCTTTTATGTAAGAAAAAATACATTACAAGCTTTCAGTAATAGATCGATGTTGCCCTCAGACATATTAGTCATGATTTGCAGAACATTTCACCCCCTGTTTCATGTTCTGCAAACTGCTTCACCAACAAAGTGTTAAATGTGTAACAGATGAGTGAAGACATGGTGGTACCTCAGTGGTATATGCTGTGGTAGCCAAACTGTGCCGAAATGTAAGCAACAATACTGCTTTTGTGGTAACATTGAAAAAATGGCTTATCCTGCATATTTCTTGCAATTAGTGGAATGGGTTTATGAGATCTCTAGTAGTTATTCTTAAATCGGTCAGCAGTACAGCAACAATGAACCAAACCTGCAATACATCCTAGTCTCTTCAGTGATGATTTACACTTGAATGCACTGCGATTACCTCCAGGCGGAGAGTTTGGAGGTTTTAAGAACACAAAGTGTATTTGAATTAATTTCAGCAGATTTACCGGCACTTTTTTTTTACTAAGCATCCCCACTTCAGCATGTCTTGACCATCTAAAAATCAATGTAGCACTTAAAATTGTACCTTTTAGGTTTTTAACTGCACCACCTTGCACATATTTCATCAATGGATTTCCCCCAATTGGAATAAAATATAAATGTACGTTAAGAATTCTAAGGAGCTTCATTTGGCGGCCCATTGCTCGCAATCAGATTCCGTGCTCATTTGGTTATAAAAGTTCAGAGTCGTCCCTTCATGTTTGGTCTGATGACTCCAATCCTCTTCATCAGGATGTTATCTCAGATTAGAGTCTCTGCTCTCTGGTTTTCCAGCTCCGGGGGGAGATGTTCATCCCTCTGAAAATAATGATATGAACAAGGAGAGTAAATGAATATTTAAAGTGAGTGACATTGCTCTTTAATGATGTACACCTCCTCTATGTCAGCGTGTGAGCTCCCCTCTACAGGCGGTGGGATCCCCCACCAAGCTGCAGCGCCTGGGATCAGCATCCTCCGACATGCCCAGTTACGCCACGCTACAGAGGGTGTCCTCACCCAAACAGTCCCCAAACCGGCTCGCCAAGTCCTACAGGTTGGTTTCTACTTCTGTCTGACCGGTTGATTTAATAAGTGCTCTTTAATAGCAGACCATTACGTAAGACTTTGTTATTGGACCCTAAGCACAAATGAATATATCTTCTGATCAATAACTCAGCAATTACTTCACCTGGTGCCGAGATTTCTGGCTTTGAAAAACTCTAAAGCTAAACGCAGCTAATTGCCCCTAAGGGGATTGATAAAATCCTTTTGAATTTAATTAAAGCTTTTAGTCTGTTTTACAAGAAACGTCCAGCTTGTATTTTTCATGTTGGACTAGCAGTACGCTAGTACTTAGGGAATTTTCAAATTGAACTTTAACATGCCGTCCATATGAAGATGGGTCGAAACCAATTGAAGTAGTGCTGCAATGAGCATTACTACAGATGTATTGCAAATGTTATTCTAAATATAGTAAAAACATGGTTAAATGTCTAAAATAAAGTCTTAATCTGGTTAAATATGTGTAACAATATATTTGTATAGCCTTGGAATTTGACTGAATGCATTGGGCAATAACGTTTCTACATGTCGACTTAAAAATCTTTTAAAAATAGTATGTTCTGTAACTTGTCCACGCTACTGGAGTCTAGGCGAAACTTACAACACATACATCTTGGACAAAGCTCCTGAATGGCAATCTTTACATTGGAGAATACATCCAGTGTGTTCACTGTGCAGTGTAACTGCTGTCTCGTAAAATGTTGTTCAAACCCACACATTTGAATATTGTAGAGATGCCAACATTTTCAAAGATACAAACCATTGAATGACAGGCTGCCTTTTGAGTTGAATTAATTTCGCTTTAAGAAGATTAAAGATAAATGCATGCTTTCTGTTAAAAATACTCTTCAAGCCCAAAGCATTTTACTTTCTCTGGTTTGACAAAGTTTAGAACTGCAAAATACATTATAGCCTACGACAGTTTTCACAGGTCGAATAAATCTCCCTTCAACAAGTACATAGATTTTGAGTTCCCCTTTTTGCCTTAGACAAATTCATTTCATTTTCTCCTCCTGCAGCACTTCATCACCCATCAACATGGTAGCATCGGGTGCCGCTGGCTCCTCCTCCCCCCTCCCCATGACAGCCTCCCCAGGGAACCACAGCTCGTCGCCCATCCACCAGCTCAGCTCAGTGGTGGGCAGCTACGCCACCCTGTCACCCACCAAGCGCATGCTGCATCACATCGGACCAGACGGCTACAAGATTTCCCACGAGCTGTACGCCAACGCAACCCTGCAAAGGCCTGGTAGCCTGGCAGGTAGAGGTCAGGACAATTAAATGATTACTCTCTTATGTGTGGATGTGTGAAATCCATTTGTCATATATCCATTTTTAGAACTTGTCCAATTCAAAAGTAATTGAAATATATGTAGATAGCCTTCTACTCACCTGCCTTAAAGTAACAGCATTACATTAGTGACATGAAATAAGCTTCTTAATTAATAACCAAATACCTTTTGGATTTGTTATTTTAAAAACCTTTGTTAGTGATTCATTCAAAACTAATGCACAAGAACTATTGCTTGCTTTTTTACAATTTGTTTCACATGTGACATAGTGTATTAGTTTGACCCATCCTTCACCCCTCCCTCTCACGCAGCTCAGTAGAATGTAGCACTCGTCATACATATTCAGACTAACCTTTACCTAAAACCCTAGTAATAATGAGGATAGGCTAAAATGACTTGAATTGCCATTGCATCTCATACAGACACTTTGGCAGTTGGCACCAACTGTGTGTCAGTATAAAGACGGCCACTAATTAAGTTTCGGGATTTGAAGCACCCCAAGCATGTTAATCTGGCTATGACATGGTAATCAAGATATTACAGTTATTCATTAAATGTGCTTTAAGGGGTAGTTTAAAAAATAGAACTGATTTGCTTTAAATTATGGATCACCATTATTTATATACTGCTCATGATACCTAACCTCAACGTTCCCTGTGCCTTTCAGGCTCCAGAGGTTCCTACAGCAGCCAGCTCAGCCAGCTCAGTCACCTGGGCGCTGAGCTCCGACCCCTGCAGTCCCCTGAACACCACATCGACCCTATCTATGAAGACAGAGTCTACACCAAACCCAACCTTAGAGGACAAGGTATGCTGACAATAAAGAAAGTATGAGCCACTTCTATGAGGCTGATCAAAACTGATCACCCCCATTAAATTGGCTGATAACATTCAAAACAACCAAAAAGTTGTTGCTCATAACTGATCTATCTATTTAGAATAAGTAAATGCCTTATTACCTTTAATAAATGACGCCATAAAGTGTAACTTATAAACACTTTATGGAGATCATTTATTAGTAAGTGGAATCGAAGAGGTAGAAGGAACAGGAGGGAATGAGGAACCTATAAAACACTACAGAGTAGATTAGAGTGAGAAATGTGCTTCAAATAGTCCAGAATTATAAATAGCAACAGCTGTAAATCACCTACTGACCTTTCTAAATTTAGTAAAATAGAGTAAAAGAAGACATCACATGAAACATAGAAGAAGTGATGGATCAAAGTATTACTGTACAGCATACTGAGAGGTATACAGAGACATAGGTGATTTGTAATGGTGTAATATTAAAGGTTGCTGTATATTAGAGAGTTCCTCATCCCATCTGATCATGTAGAGCTGTTTACCAGATCAGGTAGGCAAATCCAATTGGGGTCTCAATGGCAATTTGTCTCTCAGTCACAGTCTGTTAACTAATACATTTCAAGGCTGAAAATTAATCTCAATTAATCCCATGGGCGTTAGCTTGGGTGCTTTGAAATCAAAGCAAATCAACCGTGTCCTAAAATGTTGTCAACGCTTTGCTGCAGATTTGGTTCCCTGAACAATGCAGGTTGCTGTAAAGAGAAATACAGAGAGAGAAACATATGCAAGAAAAACCTCTCATACCACAAGGTGTTGTGCGTCGGCAACTGTGTTAAATGTTTTTTGTTAGTTTAGATATTTATGTTCCACTTCCTGTTTTATTTTCTGGTCCCTTTTCTTCCTGTCTTGGTTGTTTCCCCGCCATCGTCAGTGTCTGCCCCGCCCCTGATTGTTTCCACCTGTGTCCACTTACCTCTTGTATATAGTGTCCTGTCTCCCTTTGTTTGTTGCCAGATTGTCTTGTGTCTTTTGCCAAACTCTCCAGCGTTATCCAAATTCTTCTAGTTATCGTTACGGTCATTGCTCACATAGTTATAGTCAGGTAAGATCAGGTAATAGTATTTTTCTAGGTATTTTGTTAGGTAAGCGTTAGTGTAGATTTATCTTTGTATGTATTTTTCTGGATCTGTCGATCCTGTGTTTTTGGTATTCATTATATTTTTGTACTATACTACTTTTCAAGTAAAGACTATTTTTGATACTTGAATCCTGTGTCTGCATTCATGCTTTTGGGTCCACTCCTTGTACACTCGTGACAGTACAATCTGGCCAAAACATTTAACACAGTTGCCGACGCACAACACAAGGTTAGGTTCCAAAAGAATTGAGATTCACTTTTTTGATTAAAGGATTTGAGGTTGTGCTGGCTCACCACACACACACACACACACACACACCACACACACACACACACACACACACACACACACACACACACACACACACACACACACACACACACACACACACACACACACACTCTGATAGGTTACTTTGATGCCAGCTTTGTGGCAGTGAATGTAAGTCACGACCGCAGCGCTCTGAATAAAAAAAATTCTTTACACTTAGATCTTTTTGTTATTTTATCTGTTCAACACGAAGAGTAGTTGTTCAAGCCTGACTATGTTTCAAGGTCATTCAAATTCTTTCAAGACACACACACACACACACACACACACACACACACACACACACACACACACACACACACACACACACACACACACACACACCAAAATACACACGTGCACAGACACACAGACTGACCCAGTTCACCCCCCACAGCACAAGCTGGTGTTACTATCATGCCCAAATGGTTTCTGAGCCACTTTTTAACAAGAAGACAATTCCTTTCTCCGTCTGAATCTGACTAGACTACCACCTGGGCAAACTGGGCCACTGCCCTGAAGCCCCAAACCCTCACTGTGTGCTAATTACTTTTAGGTAATTTGATTTTGTATAAATATGTTTCTTGGCACCACTAAAGCAGAAATTAAATGCAAATAATAAGAGGTCAGGGGGCTCACAGCCTATTTCTGCCACTACTCCTAGCACATTAATCTGATAAAATGTGAAATGTTTAGCTTTGTTTCCTCCTTCTATTCCATTTTTTGCATGTCTAATTTATTTGACAGCTTCTGTCTTGTTTGTATTCTTTTTCTATTGAAAAATAAAACCATTTGGTCAGTTCACCTCTTCACCAAAAGGTAAGAACGCGTCACGTGAATTTGACGCTCGACGCGGCCCCCTTCAATCGCCTCAGTCGCGTGATTCGCACCGCGTCCACCGCTTCATGCGCGCCGTCAGAGCGAATTCGCATCTGTCCGCATCTCTGCATTGACTTTACATGTAATCGCGCCGCCCCCAAAAATCATATCTCGTCCGGTGTGAACGCAGCATTACTAATCTACCGGCACAATTTTTCTCTGGTGTCGGAATGTCTCGCGATGTTAGTGAATTCTTAAAAAACAAAACACCATTTCATTTCGGGTTAAAATTAGTTGTAACTGCGTTACTGAGAATTGTAACGGGTAGTATATTACCCAAATTTCATTAGTAATGCGTTACATTACTTCGTTACAGCAAAAAGTAATACATTACTGTAACTCCGTTACTTTTTTAACGCGTTACACCCAACACTGTTCTTTATACATCCATGGGTACAACTTCAGATAAAAATGAACACATAATGAAATATGACCCCCGGTTTGATGATTGACAGGTCACAGAAACAATGAGAGCTATCTACCCTTACCCACAATTTAAAGTAATTCACACAGACTATCTCCTCTTTACTCTTCTCTCTGTGTGGAGCAGCAAGTTCAGCTTCAGAACAAAGTGAAAAACAAACAATGGCATCAAATATTATTAAAATGTCGGGTAGTAATAGATTTATTTATTTTCTTCTCAGAGCGTACCAGAATGCGTAGTTTATATGTTAGTATTTCAAAAAATTCCTGGCGACTTCCCTCATCAAGCTAACACTAGCTTATTACAGCTACTGTTAGCAGTTGTTAGCAGTTAGCAACAACTAAAGCCTTCTGTCCATCAGGAAACCTCATTGATCAAAGGAAGTCAGTGTAGCATCAAAATGAGTATTTAAGCTGTTTTTAAGTTTTATTAGGTATATAATGTTGCTTTAAGTTGTCACTGTAGTTTGACATTTGTGTTTACGTTCGGGTTCTTTTTATTAATTTGATTCCTCACTTTTTTTCTTTTCTGTTATTTTTCATTGGTGTTGTTGCTTTTTCTCATTGTGTCTTTTTGTACTTGCATCCTTGTGGTGGCACCTGTTTTCCGATTTATTTTTTCCCCCTCACCCCGCCCATCCTCGGCTACATCAAACCCAGTGGCAAACCAATTGTACCAAGATGTCCTCAACTATCTGATCTTTCCCTACTCTCCACTTCCTGCTTTAGCCCCATCTTCCCCTGGTGTCGACCCAATCCCCTTGCAGCGAACAGGAAGCCAGAGCGCCGCGGGAACCTTTCAGAGAGGCAGCTTTGCCGCAGGAGGCGGGGCTGCTGACTATGGAAACCCGTACCGCACTCTGCAGTTCTGCCCATCCACCGAATCGCCTTACAGCAAGTCGGGCCCAGCACTCGCCCCTGAGGCCACCCTAGGCCGGTCTCCATCGGTGGACAGCATCCAGAAGGACCCAAGGTGAGAACAAAAAGACAAATGTCCAATCAGCTCTGACTTGATGATGAAGCCCGTTTGTTCCGCTCCCTTTCCACTTTCACTGAACTTACTGAGGGCCAGATTCACCGGTTTAAACATAATTATATACACATTAAGCTTTATAATCGAAGAGTGTCGAAGTTTCAATTTGTAGCATGGTGACTGCAGTTTGTAACACTTCAACAGATAATTGACTGTCTGAATTTGACTGTCCATTCCGGTAAAAGGCTGGTTGAATCTGGGCTTTAGTATAAGGCACACATCACGCCACATCTTTCACTGTCCTCTCCAGTTTACCTGGTGTCGGGGTTTGTTCACACTGCCGTACAAATTCCTGCGCACACCTTTTGGTCCAATTTAAAAGTTTGGAGTGGAGTGTCTCAGTGTCAGTGACAATCAGTAACGTTCTGTGTATTAGGTAGACACCGTTAATGCGGGAAGTGCATGGAGTCTGCTTTGAGACCAAGAGAACGAAAGTGGGTGTTTGAGAATGAGGGAAAGAAAGAAAGAGAGACAGTGACAGATAAATGAAAAAAGAGCAACAGAGAGACGTATACAGAGCCGCTTTAGTAGATTTTGTATCATTCTTTTGTCCTAGTTATAATCAAGTTTGATATACTATTCCAATTGTGTCATGGATTTTTCTTTCTTAGTCTTTTTGTTCTGTCCTATGACTGCACAGACATGCTGCCACAGATATAAGCAGCCTAATTAAAGTTGAAGTGTGATATTTCAGCTCAGGTGTAAGCAGAACATTTTTTTTCTTTCTAAAATGTCATATTTCAAATGACGAAGTCACTTTGTGCTGAACGGCTTATTATATGGTCACATTTGGAAGCATAAAGAAATGTTTCTGTGTCATTAGGATAGGTGACTTTGTTGTTGTTGCCATGGCTCTTTTCTTCACCCATTGTCCAAGTGTTTGTTTCTCTGTGCACATTGCACCCACATTGTCTGTTTGTTCAATCTTGAGCTCCAGCATCAACGTTGTGTAGCTTCCAGCATCAACACATCTGCACTGCTACATTCAAAGGACTGATTTCTGATGCATGACATTGTGCTTTACCTTCATAACATCCAGTGCTTCCACTGTAGGAATGAAAACATGCTATTTGTCCACATTATGTTGAAGGGAGGGTCCCTCAAGATTAAAAAATATATATATATATTAACTTATATATATGAACATTGGGTTTCTGCAGTAGTCAAATGTAACAGTTTCAAGCTTGCTACATTATCATATTATCAAAATGTTTGTGTAAAAAGAATCCTTGAAGAGACCAAAACTAACGATGTTATGTGAGTCCATCTTTCAATATTCCGGCTTCCCTATGTCTGTATCAGACCCTATACCATGTATTCCTCCGAAATGTATAATTCAATCATAGCAGTTTTTTGGGGACTATTTTAAGTTGCAAGTTATTGCCCACTTGGTGCTCTATTCCAGTCCATCTCAAATGGGCGTACTTATACCCCTTTTTCCCTATCAATATTGTTTTGCGATTGTCCTTGGTGGAAAAAATAGTTTATCATGGCTATATGATTGAAAAAAGTTCAACAAAAAAATTGCTCATCTTAAAGCAGGAGGGCATTCTACTTCCAGGCCCTCGCTCGGACCACACCCATGTTCGAACTGGGCTTTCATTTGTCTCTCGACTACACACTTGTAAAGTTTTTTTGACACCAAGTTGGTGCAGTGGCTTTAAGTGCCAGCCAATGGTCCCTTCATCCACCATGCTTGGACTACGCCCATTTCAAACTCAAACCATGATAGAGTCCCGGAGACAAATTCTGTCCACAGACAGACAGAGAGAAATATAAACACCTGGCAAACTACTCAAAACCTCCTCTGCACTGTTGTGGTAACAAGCTATATCAGTTTGGATTATAAAATAAATACTTATATTACCACGATATTTACCAATTGGTCAATGTAGTTCTTAACACTAACACCATATTCATATTAGATTATACCTGCATGCCTTAGGCATGATCTATGCGTAACTTAAGAGTGTGTGATATATCAAAAACAAAAGCAGATTAAGAAAACTGAACTTTTACTGACAATTAACAAATTACCTGATTATGAAATTAGTGATCATTTTTTAAATATAAACATGTTCAGGTAACCAACCATTTAATAGATAATTTGCCATTACCTCACTTGATTTTCAAAATATAGTAAATGTAGATATTTTGTATCCTGTCTAAATTTACCCATACAGGCGTAACAGCTTAGCTTGTCATTTACTCACCATTTAGCTTAGTCGTTCAGCCGTGCTTTTCTGAGATAAAGCTAGTAATTTTCAATGACACACACATTTTTTAATAAAATACACTTTAAGGATTTTGTCATCTATAGTCACCAGCACGGTTGACAAACATTCCAATCTCATAATAACTTGATGTATTGCTCAAAACAGGATGACACGGATGAGCGAATAGCATTAATAGCACTAAAGGTATTTTGATAATTGGCTCTAAAATGGTCTGTTTGTATCCTAGGACCCTCTCTTTAACTAACATACCCACCATCTCCTCACCACCCGCTCTAAATGCATGCGCCTCACCAGCCCACCTCCTCCACCATTGCCTGATAACCAAATGTTGAGAGAGAAAGATAGTGTAGTGGCTACATATTGATTTATATTTACTGATCATTACTTTTATGACGGTTATTGAATAATTTCTTGCCAGACAGCCAACATATACCTCTCTTGTTTCTCTCTGCCTGTCCCCCCTCGATAGGTACGACCCAGAATTCCTTGTGTGGAATCAAAATCAAGCCGAGCAAAGAATGACAAAGTAATCCAACTATTTATTTATACACATACATTCTGTCTATCTATCTAACCTGTCTCATTCACTGACTCTTTCCATCTTCTCTATATGACACCAATGTCAGATGTTAATGACCTCATGACAGTTCCCATATGTATCGTCACCCATTTTACATGGCGTTATAAAGATTCTAAATTGGATTACTGGCAATAAAAAAAAAGAATAATTGAACTACATCAATATACATAACATTAAATGACATGCTTTAACTGAAAACACTAAGAGAAAAGTTGCATTCTTTAAAAAATAAAATCAGTCTTAAGTAACAAAGTAAATAATGACTTATTTGCCATTTAAAGAAATATCGTTTCTGTTTTTTTTTTTGTATAAACATTCCTCATTCTCTCCTTTGGCTATCTACCTATCCCTCCATCCATTTTTCTATCTGTTGATTTTCTGGTCATTCATTTGTCTCCATTGTCTGTCTGTCCTGGTGATATCTGAAGGTGCTTTGTGAAGTTAGTCGTGGAGCTTGCCCAGTGTAAATGTTGGCACGGTGTGTTGAATATTTGGTATAGATGTTCTTATTTGTCTCGAAAAAGTACATGTATATAGTTTGTCCTTGTTGTTTTGTTGCTATTTCCTGTCTGATTTTAGTGGTAGAGAAATGTGTCATGTCATATATGGACATTTTTGGATATCATTCAATCAAGAACATATACTTGTTAATGCAAATATCACGTTATCTTGTACAATGTGTACTTTCCTTTTTCGGTGTGAAAAGTGGAGGAAACAAACAACTGTGTAAGCGAGGAGAAGGAATTACCACAGCACACACACACTTCTGGCTTTTTCCACACAAAGACAACATAGCATTTGCTACAGCACAGAGAAAATGCTACTGTTTAAATTGGACAAACATACACAAATGAATACATTCTGAGTAAATAAAAACTGTAGACATGTGTGATCCTGTATGGGCGGATGGGTGGGTCTTTTCAAAGAAAGGTTGAATCATTTTATTGAATCAAATATAATTTTTGCTTAAATTGCCCAGCATAACCATCCTGTATTTCACTCGTACATCCAAGTACGTCAAGGTTTTTTGCATCTTTTTTTTCAATTATCTCTGTGCTTTTCTAATCCAGCACAAGGTGACCTAACCCTGAAATGTCTCAGATGGATTAAAATGTAATGGATGGACTCAATGTAGAGATACAAATCAGCATGGGCACATAGATGAAAGTTTTGTGGTCATTTTTACTGTCTGCAGCTGGCCCCCTAATGATCCCTTTATCCTGAAAAAGATAACATAATGTAGTAAAAAAAACATAATATAGCTGATTTGTCAAGCCACATAATCTGGCAAATCAAGGTGCGTTACTGTGGACACAGGCACTTATGCACTCCAACGCATTTCCTTATTCAGGCTGCCAATCATTTTTGGAAATGTTCCTCGCTAGCACAAACTAGGATTTGTGCTAGACTGGATCCGACACGATCATAAAATACCTCATTTTATTTCATGCTCATAAGCACAGCGAGAACCTCTGATCCATACTCAGTCACAGGGTTGAGATGGACTCCGTGTGCTGTGCTTCTCAGCTCTGCCTGACATCTCCCGACCTTTCGTTCATCTCTACCAGCCTCAGTGGGCCAGTCAGTCAGCCATGCCATAACACACACACACACACACACACACACACACACACACACACACACACACACACACACACACACACACACACACACACACACACACACACACACACACACACACACACACACACACCCACACACACACACACACACACACACACACACACACATACACACACACACACACACACACACACACATACACACACACACACACACACACACACACACACACACACACACACACACACACACCACACACACACACACACCACACACACACACACACACACACACACACACACCACACACACACTCTTTTCTTACTTACACATTTCCTTTGCCTCAGTCTACCTTTCTCATTCCATTCACTACTTTCAAACTATTACCTGATTCCCGTATCGAGGTTCAGGTGGACTTATGAACAGATTAAAAGGTTTTTCAATGCAGCTGCCAAGCCATGAATGCACATTTTATAGGGTAAAAGTCAAATGTTGTAAAAAACTCTCAATATGCATGTGTGCCGACCTTTGTTCTGTTAGATTCAGTTACCTTGAGGCAGTCTTTAGTATTTCAAGTCTACAAAAGGAACAAAGCTAAGAGTCGCTCTGAAAATGCAGTGTAAATATTGAATATATAATATCGGAATATGATGGAAAAACCACAGTAGCCAACTAATAATGTTCAACACTTCTCCCTTGAGATCATTTCTAAACTGTAGATAAAGCAAAACTCTAACACAACTTTTGAAACACGCTTGATATAGAATAATACATTATTGCAACTTGACAGGCTGTAATACACATGCAGACTAACTGTTTTACATTAAATTATATCATATTGTCAGGTTTTAAGCAACAAAATAAAGAAGAAAAGATTAGCGTGCAGTAGGTGCTAAAGTGTATGAACCAATATTTGATTTATATACATTTTTTTGAAAAATGGCAAAAACCCTATTGAGATTAAGTATTTGCATCTTTTAAGAAAAAGACAAACTTGAAGTATAAAATCATAATTAATAGTAAGGGCTTTATTGTGCTTTTTGGGGTTTTCCTTTTTCTACTGTGTGTTATAGGTGTTATTTTACATAAATGGTCAGAGGCTAAAATCCCATAGTTCCCTCCAGAGGGTTTCTCTCCCACACACTCCCCCCCTGCCTGAAACGCCTCCATTGGACTCCTTTGTTTACTTCCGTAACATAGTGACGTCACTATGCCAGCTAACCAATCAGAGCAGACTGGGCTCTGGTTTCAGACAGAGGGTGAAAAGAGGTGCTGCAGCACAGGCAGTATGAGAAAAATAAAGCATGTAAACAGTAGATGCAACAAAAAAAACATAATATGTCCTCTTTAATTTGGCTATCACCACATACAATACATAGCTATATCACAGCAGGGCATACAGACTTATATTGTACAGAAAACATTTATTTACAAGCTGCTGTAACTAAAGAACAGATGACACAGAGTGAGTGAGGGAGAGATAAATCATGCAATCAATTACATAGACCGTTGAGTTTGAACAGCGTTGTCCATCGTTAATCAGCTCCTGTGGTAATTACTGTATCCATCAGCTGGACTTGTAGACAGATCTTCAGTGCTGCTGGTGTGAGATCAGTTTGCTTTGTGATACTAACAAATACAACACTCGTTAGGGTCTTTTGTATTGTATTCCATTTTAATTTACCTTGAATTGACTGTAATGTTTCTTGTTAATCAGCCCCCTAATGTGGTTGGATCTCCCGCTGAAAGCTTAATGCAGTGAGTCAGCACCGTTGTTAATTTATTTCCCTTTATTCCTGCCTCCTTTCTTCTTCTCCTGTCAGTCTACTCTGCAGGTTTACCCTACCTGTCTGTCTCTGCGAATGAGTCATCAGACGCATTTCCATTCCCCCCCGAGAGTCAACAGCGGTGCAAAAGTACACACACAAACCAAATATACCCGACACAAAACAGATAGTTAGATCTCTGGTTTCAAATTGCTCTATTCCACAAAAACCCTGACTCATAGGAAACCCTTTCAGCCTGATATAGCGGTGATCAACAAATTACAGCGCCTCGCCACGCTTCCTCAATACATAATTCATACATAGTTTATTTGTGTACAGGGTTTAATTGTTGGTTTGCCTGCATCTGCTATTGTGGTGTAAATGTTTTGATTGTGGGTGACAGGATGATATACACACACACACACACATACACACACACACATACACACACACACACACACACACACACACACACACACACACACACACACACACACACACACACACACACACACACACACACACACACACACACACACACACACACACACACACACACACACACACTCCTAGACAAGTGGTGATGCGAGATAGCCCACCTGGCTGCCTCGGAACAAAGAGTGGATTGACAGTTTGTCAGTACTTTGTCCCAGTCCACTGAGTCGCCAAATGAAACATTAGGCTCTCTTGGGGGATTTCGAAGACACACAAGCGCAACACACACAGGCATATGGACACTTACATATACAGGAATGAGTCCTTAAACCCTGAAATTAGTCAGCATTTTTGCACTTCCAATGCCCTCATCTCGTCTGTGGTTAACACAAGCTCAAGAGATGTTCACATTTTGTGCCGTGACATAAGGTTTGGTTTTTGGACCTACCCCACTGGTTTGAGATCTTTATGTGTCGTCAATAAGGTGTTTGCTCACAAGTGTAGACTTAAGAGGTTGTCAAGGACATATAACAGCATCTCGCCAAATGCCAAACTCAACTACTTTATTTACTTTACGGTTAATCTAAGCAACTGTGGTTTTCTTATACACTGACGTTAGCAATTTACTTAGACCCTTTGCAATTTATCTGCAAAAATCATAAATGCAAAAATGTGTAAGTAGCATAAGCGTTTGTTTGCCACAGAGGTTAATCCAGAAAACCAATGGAGTAATCCTGTTGCATTTTGTCAAGGAAACCAGCACTTTGTTACATATTGATTTTTTAAGATTGGAGCTATCTGTGGGATATTACATTACATGTCACTTGTTAGACGCTTTTATCCAAAGCGACTTACATACTCAATACTGTGGGCAATCCCCACAGGAGCAATTTGGGGTGAAGTGTTTTGCCCAGGGACACAACGACATGCTGACTGCAGTGGGGTTTGAACCTGTGACCCCCTGATCCGAAAACCAACGCACAGCCCACTGCACCACACGCCTCGGATATAAGGGTTAAGGAAGATTGTTCAGTTAAACAAAAAACGGTCTTGTTTATAGCAATTAGACGAGCCACAAATTAAGTTAAAAAATGAAACTGGGAAACCTTGATGAGCAAGATGGTATTATTTAACATGTCATAACTAGTTTGAAGATTTTGGC